CCATGGTTGACTACATGGGAGTCCAGTGATGTAGCCATTATGCCATCTTCTGGTCCTGGTCAAAATTAAACCTTAAATAAAGTTAAGTAAAATGTTTTAAAAAATTAAAAGAAAGCCTCCAGGTCCGGGACCCAAACTACTGTTGGCCATGTCAGAGTCCAGCCTTTTAACCACCATCCCACCTGCTGGCCCTGACCTCCTTTTATTATATATTTATTTAATTATTATTTTCTTTAACTTTATTTTAATGTGACCAGAGAGAGACAGAGAAAGAGAGAGAGAAAGTGAGAAAGCAAGCCTCCCAGATTTGGGACTTGAACCATGGTTGTCCATATGGGAGTCCAGCGCCTTTAACTGCCATGCCAAGTACTGGCCCCATTGTTTATTTATTTTTAATTAATTACAATTTTAAAGGCTCCATACCTCCTTTTAAAGTGTAAATATGGGCCAGCTCCATAGCCTTGTGGTGAAGCGAGCCAGATCTCATATGGCCAACCATGGTTAGAATCCTAGCCTGGCTCTTTGAAAAACAGTGTGTGTGCGTGTGTGTGCATGCCCCAAATCCTGACAGGATGGAGAAATTGGAGAAGGGACTGAGGTGTGGCCATGTCCCTGGGGAGGTGCTTCCTCTCTCTTCCCCTCGCTCGCCTCTCTGTCTCTGCTAATGCCTGCAGGCTCTGGTAGCTGTCAGTCAATCAATAGTGTTACAGGTGGCGAGTAAAATGTGGCTGTGAGGTCAGTGTAGCAGTGTCCCCAGCTCCTGGGGATGTAGGACCCAGAGAGGGTGGCCCCTCAGGCCCGAGTCAGGGCCAGAGCCCAGGGCCGGCCCCCACACGGAGCGTGCAGTCTGAGGCTGCATAGGTGCTGGCCGGATGCAGGGATGCAGGGATGGGCGCTGGGGGGCAGGCTCAGGTGAGAGGGCTCTGAGGCTCCTCTCCTTGCACCCCTCCATGTGGCATGGGCAGCAAGGGTGCGTCTGAAGGTGCTCCCAGAGCTGGAGCTGCTGTGCGGCCTTGCACCTGCCCACCCTACCCGCCCCTGTGGACGGACCACTGAGGCATCTGGCCGATGAGAGGGGAAGTGGGGGAGCCTCCCTCTTCAGCTGGAGAGGAAGCAGAGGGGCCATTGCAGGGAGACTGAGGTAAGAGACTTCCCAGCGAGGCCTGGCGCTGACCTGGGCTCTGAGGGACCTGGAGGAGAGACCTCGGGCGTGGCCCAGGCCTGTCTGACTGGGGCCCCTCCATGCCCCGCCTTCTCTGCCAGGGGCCGCCTTACATGTCCACGACTTCGGCATGCTGACGATGGACTGGCTGGTGCACAACGTCACCTACAGGCGTCACCTCTACTTCTGCATGACCCCGAGGGGCAACATGCAGTTCCGATTTGCTGACCCAGCTCCCAGCAGCCTCCCGCCAGCAGCGTGCTCAGCGTGGACGCTGATGGAGGATTTTCGGAAGAAGGTGAAGAACGTCACTGAGTTTGATGCTAGGTGAGTGGTGGCTCGGAGAGCAGGCCTCAGCCCGGTCCTGGCAGTGTCTCCTTGGTACAAACATACGTGTCCGTGTCTGTACAGAGCTGGCGTTAAGGCAGTGGGCGGCCTTTTCTTTTGATTTTTACCGGATACTTTGCTTAACAAAATATTCAACACCAGGATCAGCAGTTAGCGTAATGGCTATGTCACTGGATTCCCATGTAGTCAACCGTGGTTCATGTCCCAGACCTGGTGACTTAAAACCCACGCTGGGCACGTATGCGTTTGTGCCCAAAATCCCGAGAGAACGGAGGAGAAGGGATTGTGGCGTGGCCATCCCCTCTGGGCGGTGATTTCTCACTTTCTGTCTCTCTGTCTCTCTGTGTCTGTCTGGCAAGCACACACGCCCTATAGCAAAAACCTCCCCCCCAAAAAAAAAAAATTCAACACCTTTTTCTGCCTATAGTCATTTCTGGGTGCATTTAAATTCTGTTCTCAGGGGCAGCAGGTGGCGTGGTGGTTAAGGGTGCTGGACTCCCACATGGCCAACTGCAGTTTGAGTCCCAGACATGGAGACTTGCTTTCTCACCTTCCCTCTTTCTTTTTCTCACTCTGCCCCTCTCTGGTCAAATCAAAAAACAAATAAATGGGACCAGCAGTTGGCGTAATGGCTATGTCACTGGACTCCCATGTAGTCGACTGTGGTTCAAGTCGCGAACCCAGCGGCTTAAACTCACGCCGGGCTCATGTGCGTGCGTGCCCAAGATCCTGAGAGGAGAATGGAGGAGAAGGGATTGCAGCGTGGCCATCCCCCCTGGGGGGTAATTTCTTGCTTTCTGTCTCTCTCTGTCTTTCTGGTGAGTGCACACGCCCTATAGCAATAGTCTCTCAAAAAAAGAAAAAAAAGTAAATAAAGTGGGGTCTCCCAGTGTGGCCCCCAGTACTGGCTTTTCCGGCTCTGCCCTCAGGTGCATCTAGGTGGGAAATGCAAGGTGGGAGGGGCCCTGGGGCACCCAGAGGCCACCAGAGGCCTGAAGCACGCCCTTCAACCCCGTCCCCACAGACTGCTGAAAACGTTCACTCTGGTGGACGACAACCCCGAGGTGACATATCCAAACCAAGATGTGGTCTGGGCGAGGTTCAAAGCCATCTTCTTCCGCATCGCCGGCCTTGTGCACTTCGCACCCGTGTTCAAGGAGTACATCGAGCGCAGCTTGGGGGAGTTCTACCAGGACAACGTGTTCTACCTGGAGATCCGCGCCCGGCTGTTCCCGGTGAGCCATGGTGCCCTCCTCGCTCCACCTCGCTCCACCTTGCTGCCCCCATCCTCCCTGGTGCAGTGTGTGTCCTCATGGGCATCCCCAGGTCCCTGGTGTCAGGGGCACGTGTTTCTCCGAGGCCACTGTGAGCAAGAACACGGGGGTGGGCCGGGCTGGCCCCAGCAGATCTGCCATTACCACCCTCGTGCCCATGACCTCCCTTTCTCAGGACTCCCGCTTCTCACAGCACTCCTGCACACCCCAGGCCTGGGCCAGTCTTGGTCGGCCCCCTTTCCGACCCAGATGTAGCTTCCCTGAGTCCGCTAGGATGACGCTCTGGTGCAGGGATGGCTGAGTGATGTGGGGAGGGATCTAGTTGCATGTGGCTGCGGGCATGGGTGAGTTTGCGTGGAGCCCTTTCTGGGGAGCATGGCTGTGTTTTAGCTGGGGCGGCCTCTGGGCAGTGCTGTCCGCGCAGGGCCGGCAGAATCCTGTGCTCCCGCAAGGCTAGTCTCCAGTGCGCCATTGAGCAGAGCCCAGCCGATGTGGACGGGCGAGGTTGGGCGAGGTGCCTGGAGAGTGAGGGCCTGGGGCCGCATCTTCCCGTCCTCCCTGGCGGGGACCTCTCCGTCTGCCATCACTGCTCTGAGCTGGCTGCACGGAGACCTGAGGGCCCCTCAGCTCCCAGCAGGGCGTGTCAGCGCAGCCCCAGTCTCAGCCTGGGTACAGGGCGGTCACCCTGTCTCCCTGGTGGCAAGAGCGGGCCTTAGCGTTAATCCTTTGCACTGCTTCTATGACTTTTGTGAACAGAGTCGCTAAAGCCTAGGCACAGGTGATCTTCTTTAAAGAAAAGAGAGCTGGAACCAGCAGGTGGCGTGGTGGTTAAGGTGTTGGACTCCCACAAGGCTGACTGTGGTTTGAGTCCCAGACCTGGCAGCTTGCTTACTTACTTTGTCTCTCTCTGGTTAGCGTGTGTGCCCTACAGCAAGTTAAAAATAACAAAGGTGGGGACCAGCAGGTGGCATGGTGGTTAAGGTACTGGATTTCCCACATGGTCAACAACTGTTCGAGTCCTGTTCCTGGTGGCCTGCTTTCTCACTTTCCCTCTCTCTCTCTGTGTCTCTCTCTGGTCAAATTAAAATAAATGAATTAATAAATAAAATTAAATAATTAGGAACAAAACCAACAAAGGGGCCACAGGTGGCATGGTGGTTAAGGTACTGGATTTCCCACATGGTCAACAACTGTTCGAGTCCTGTTCCTGGTGGCCTGCTTTCTCACTTTCCCTTTCTCTCTGTCTCTCTCTGATCAAATGAAAAAAAGAAAAAAATAACAATAACAAATAAAAATAATGAATTCTTAAAAAAATTAGGAACCAGCAAATGGGGTAATGGTTATGTCATTGGACTCCCACATAATCAACTGCAGTTCGAGTCCCAGACCTGGTGGCTTAAATTCACACCAAGTGTGTGTGTGTGCGTGCCCCAAATTCTGAGAGGAGAATGGATTGTGGGGTGGACATCCCCCTGGGGGCTGATTTCTCGCTTTCTGTATCTATCCCTATGTCTCTCTGGCGAGTGCACATGCCGTATAGCAAAAATCTCTTTGATACACAAATGATAATAAATAACATGAAATAATTACAAAAATTTGCTGTAGGGCATGTGCACTCACCAGAGAGAGACAGAGATAGAGAGAGGACGAGAAAGTGAGAAAGCAAGCTGCCAGGTCCGGGACTTGAACGATGGTTGGCCATGAGAGAGTCTAGCATCTCAATCACCACACTACCTGCTGGCCTCAAATAAATAATTCTTTTTTAAGAAAAAGTTATTTATTTACTTTTATTCATTCATTCATTTTATTTTGATTTGACCAGAGAGAGACAGAGAGAGAGAGAAGGAAAGTGAGAAAGCAAGCCACCAGGTCCAGGATTCGAACCGTGGTCAGCCATGTGGGAGTGTCCAGCACCTTAACCACCATGCCACCTGCTGGTCCCAAATAAATCATTCTTTAAAAACAGAAAGGAAAAAAAGAAAGAAAGAAAGAAAATAGAGCGTCTGGCCCTCTTCTACTGAGAAAATAACTTCTGGAAGAGCTGAGACAGCACTAGGTCTGGCCACAGCAGGACAGAAGAACTCTCCCTGCGAAGCTTAGCTGCGTGCTTTGGAAGACGGACTGGTGCATGGCTCCACGCTCTCTGCGCCCGCCCTGTCCAGGCGCAGCCTGAGCCTCGCCCCACCAGGTGTCCTCAGGCCCTTTCTCACCGGCCCGCCCTGGTCTCCGCGGCATGGTCCCTGCGTTGTGTGTCCTGGTGGGTGAGTCCCGATTGCCCAGCTGCTTCAGGCTAGCTCAGATTTCGTGCTGCCCTGTGTTTTCAGCTGGTTCCACAGTGACAACCATGCTTATCGATGGCGGACCTCAAACTTTGGGGGCCACACAAGTAATTTGAAGGTGCTGTTTAAAATTTGTATTTGGGGGGCCAGTAGGTGGCATGGCGGTTATGGTGCTGGGCTCCCACATGGCCCACCATGGTTTGAGTTCCAGACCTGGTGGCTTGAAATTCATGCCAGACACGTGTGCGAGCGTGCCCCAAGTCCCAGGGGGAGAATGGGGTAGCAGGGATTGCAGCATGGCCTACCCCCTGGGAGGTGACTTCTCACTTGCCCTCTCTCTGCTTCTCTCCTGTGAGCGCTTGGCCCCTGTGGCAGAAACCTTAACAAAGAAGTTCACTTTTACTCTGGCCTCCCGAGTTAAAGGAGCTGTCAGGGGAAAACCCCTCTCTCCCACCCTCCCCCTTGTGATCTGAATGTGGAGGGCCTAACCCAGTGCCCTAGAAGGGCCTTCACTCTGACCTTCCTAATGTGTCTCTCCTGTCTCATCTGCGACCACAGCATCCCTGTTCTAGGGGAGGGCGGCGCTGAGCTTGTAGATGTGACACTGAGCTCTTTGATCAAGGCCACCCCAGCAGGAAGGGCTGGAGAGGCCAGAGCTGCTCCGGTTGGGTCGCAATTTCCTTGTGGGGCTGAGTCCTGGCAGCCACGTTGGGCTCTGAGCTCGGGGGCAGCGGGGACGGCGGGGACGGCGGCTTCAGTCCTAGCCTCGGGAGGGACGGCGCGCTCCCCAGAGCCGTGGCCGCCGAGGGCGAGCGGGGAAGAGGGGCGGCTGGGCGGTGGCTGTGACTTCCATGTTGGCAGCGAGGGCAGGGTTAGGCGGAAGCGGCCGGGAACCTGCCCTGGAGGGCGAGGACGCCCGGGCAGGGCTGCAGTGCTCCAGGCCCCCGCGCCCCGGGGCACCTCTCCGGCTGAGCGGGGGTGGGGAGGCCCAGACTCTGCACCCGCCCGGGCCGCTCCGTCCTGGCCCCGCGGAGCCCCGCCCGGCCCGGCCCGCCCAGCTCCGAGGTGCAAGCGCCTGGGGGTTGGGGACCGGCCTGCGGGCTTCCGGCCTGACCCGGGAACAAAGGCTCTGGCTGCGGAGACCGGCCTTCGCCGGAGCGGCCCCTCCGGAATGCGGGCCGGGGCGCCA